AGACAGACAGACAGACAGACAGACAGACAGACAGACAGACAGACAGACAGACAGAGAAGGAGGGATAGAGGCAATACAGAGAGAAATAGAGAGAATATTACAAAACATAATAAGATGTTAAAAGTGCTAAGCTCAAAAGCAAAACCAGGAGGCAGGTAGCATGTTTAGTTTAATTACTCCTTGTGTTGTTTAAAACAAGCCATGGAGAACCTATCTAATTTGTTGACTTATTTTCTCCATGAAGTAAGTAACGTAGGCTTGTTTTTGTTGGCGTTATTCTGTTTTGCTTTCTTTTGAGAACGTGTTATTGATCATGAATCTTGAACTGGCAATCCGCGGGACAAGATTCTGCGGCCCCTTCATGACATCAACGTTTACTCTTAGTATGGGCAATATTTTGTGGCTCCTAGATGACATCAAATTTTAATATTAGTGTGGGCAATATTTTGTGGCCCCTGGGTGACATCAAAGTTTTCTATTCCTGTGGGCAATATTTTGTGGCCCCCAAGATGAGATCAAAATTTGCTATTAGTATGGGCAATATGTTGTGGCCCCTTCATGACATCAACGTTGTTGGGTTTTTTTTTGTGTTTTTTTGCATGGGCAATATATTGTGGCCCCTAGATGACGTTCTATTAGTGTGGGCAATATTTTGAGGCTCTAACGTGACATCAACCTGTACTATTAGTGCAGGCAAGATTTGTGTGGCCCCTAAGTGACAACAAAGTTTTTCTACTAGTGTGGGCAATATTTTGTGGCCCCAAGATGACATCAAAGTTTACTATTAATGAGGCCCTTCCTCAAGCCAAATTATCTTTCATGGATTCGTGAGCGCTACCAGGTCTCTGGCAGCAAGGAGTAAGTAAGAGAAGCTTATGTTCTGAACAACTAGTCGTGTTCTGAATTGCTATTAGGAAAGACTGCAAATGGGTTGGGGTTTTTTGTGTATGTGGGGGGGGGGTGTTGGGGTTTCTTTTTTTTTGGGGGGGGGGGTGTTTTTGTTTCTGTTTTGTGGATTTAAAAAAATATATTTGAAGCCCTTTTTGTGGAATACTTGAAGCTCCCTGGGCTCAGCCAGACTTTAAACCCCAGTGGTCCTCAGCTACATATAATTCAAGTTTGAACCCGTTGATGTAGATAATATTCAAAAGATATTATAACTTATAACTATAATTATAGTGTTGTTATCAGTTTTACCTCAGTGTTAATTAAATCTATGGGGTTCGTTTAGAATTTATTTAAACAAGCTACTGAAAACCCGAAAATAATCTTTCGTTTGCTTTGTCGTACTGTTTCAGGCATTAGAAATAAGAGGAGTAACAAAATAGCAAAAGAAAAACAAAACCACATTCGTGGAGCTGAGACATCAGACTGCGAGGGACCGACAGGCGTGGATCTGAGGACATTTGGACTTATAAAATGGGCTTGGTTGTGACTCTGGCAGTAGTCATGGCCTCTCTGCTCAGTTTGGGTACGTGCTTCTCTCTCTCTTGTTTGTTTTTGTTTGTTTGTTTGTTTGTTCAATGTATGTGTTTTAACACCCTTAATGACACAATTTAGATCATATAGGAGGCTGGTTTCAGACCTTGTCCTTCTGGGCCAAACCAGGCTGAGAGGGATACAACATTCTAGCAGAAAGACTGGGATACTCGATAAAAAGTTCTCCCCACTCGGGAATCGAACTCGGGTTTCCTGCGTGCAACAGCGAAGCAACTAATTGCTACGCCACAGACGCCGGGGTAAGTGTTTCTGTCTCTTCTAAAATTGTTACGGTAATTATAACCGTTTCACTCCCCCATCCATTCAAAGTAAATTGTTTAGGAAGCGGGTGGTCCTGACCATACCTGTCAGGGTCAACCCGGACTGAATAGGACACAACACCCTGGAGGACAAACGGAGACAAATAAATTATTAACTCGATTTTTTTTTAAATCTCCCCACACGGGAATTGAACTCATGCCTCTCGCGGCCTAGGCGTAAAGGTGTTCGCCTCTCGTTCAATAGGTCCCAGGTTCGAATCCGGATAGCGACGGAAAATGTTCTTCTCTAAAATGTTCTCCTTTCACATCCTTCTCTGCTCTCTAACAATGTTCTGTCTTCTGCTTTCGTCTCCACTTTCTGTCCCCACCTCCTCACCTACTCTGCCCCCTTTTCTGGGTTCCAGACTCTTTCAGCAACTGTTCTACTTCTTCTCTTTGACTCCTCCTTACTGCTGTCTTTCAGCCACACCACTGATCTTATGATAGGAAAGATCTACACCTAGCCTTCTCGGACAAGGGCGAAAAATCTTGAAGGTCTCGTGTGCAGGTTGCGCACTTTAAAGATCCCTTGGTGGTCCAAAATCGACAAGAGTAGGTTTTGGCCGCCACCTGGGCTAAATTCAAAATTTCCTACCAACTGAAAATGGTTAATGCGTCCCGCGCGCTCATATGACCTTATTTGGTTGAGAGCACCGTAAAACACTTATCAAAATAAACAAACAAACAAACAAACAAACAAACAAACAAACGAACTCACGTCTTCCGAATATAACTACGGCGCAGAGCCTTGTGTTATGCCACAAAAACCGATTTTTTATTTACATATTGTCATCTTCTATTCGGGTTATGTTACAATATGATGACATAGTTACATTAAGGCGACACCCCCC